GGGGGGTTCTACATGTACTCCAGCCTCTTCCCACACTCCAAAGATGTATAGCCTGGATAAATGGAGACTTTAAATCGAAGGTACTGCAGGCCTGTACAATGTGTTATGATCACTGTATATAAAGATTATGATGAACCCACTGAAGGGTCAAAAAGGTTGAAGCAGATAAAAAGAGCCTTGAGGACAGATGGCATAAATGACGACGGGTTGATACCTTTAACCAGTCGTTTGGTCCTCGGTGGCGGGACGACCAGTGTGCTGCTTCCCCCTTCCTCTAGACTCACTCCTTCGTTCAGTCTGGCCATGCAGAATGCAGCAGCGTCGACGTCAGTGGGGGCAGGGCCGGAGAGGGCGAGGCCGTAGCTGGACTGGCTGCTGTTGTGCTCGATCTGCAGCACGCTCAGCTCCTGGTTGGTGAAGTGCGAGCGGATCTGGCTGAGGTAGGTCATGACTATGAGCCTGTCGGGGACGGATAGGAGAACCATGTCGGACGGCTCCAACAGACGAGAGATGCCCAGCGCCTCGAAACCGTCATACGCCTGAAGAAGCACATCATCAGAAAAGAATAGACGTTATAATAATGATTCCTTGGATAACCACCAGGGCATGTCGATCTATATTTAATAGTTTCAGTCTGATGACCTCATGAAGATCTCTGTAAGCAATGTCCTCTGACTGAACAATTCAGATGAGAGAAGAGACAAAACATTGAGTCACTCCTCTGAACTGTTTTCAATAAATACACTGTGCTCAGAACAATGAGCTTATTGAGCTGCAGAGTGTTGCAGCCAAAGCTCTGCAGACGTTTTACCCTCTGTTTTGCCTCTCGGGAAGCATAAAGTCTGGAGCTTGTTAGGATCTTATGCAACGTCAGAAGAAGACTGCAGCTACTTCTACGCCAGATATAAGTACCTATAGTTCACCTTCTATGTGTGAAACAAATTAAGAATCAGGTCCCTATCAAGGAAATCTGATCTAATCTGTGTAGGTTTATGTCCGTAAACGACAAAAACCTACACTCTCCCTGACAAGAGCTGTCACCCATCCAAACACTGTCCTAACTGTACAATACCATGTGGTTCAGATTATTGGAAAACACACTGTCTTAAGGATTTGATAATATGTCAGCAGCGTCAATGAGAAAGGAAACATCACTTAACCGTTTTAAACCAAGAAGAGAAACAACATAACCATTAGACAGGATGATTACAACACTACAAAATCGAATAAATGAGACTAAAACATATATATTAAACTCATATAACACTTATGATGGAATTGTTGCTGTGGAATATGAATATATATTTGATTAATTCATGTCTCTCACCTTTTTGTTGTTGAGCTTGATGTCATGTGGATTTAACTGGTCAAAATCTCTAATGGGACAAAAGCAAATAATGAAAGCATTTAAATGTAGATTTTAAACTATAGAGTCCTTCAATAATTTAAAAAACTGAATGGATCCTAAAATATATACAATCAGCTTTAAAGGAGACTGAACGATGTACATTTTGTCTGGGTGGAAGTGATGCAGGATGGCACAGAAGGCCAGGCCGTTTCTCCAGGACGTGCTGAAGTTTGTGACCTTTACCCCCTGGTGCTGGCTGGTGATGTCCTGACACCACTGCAGCAGCGACTGGCTGGAGTTCACCAGGTCCTGAAAAAACAAGCTCAGTCTCAGGTGTGTGTATGTGTGTGTTTCTCTGTGATTTAAAAATAACAGAGTTTTTAGGCGAACATCGGAATTCTGAGTATTTACCTCAGCAGAGTCGTCCTTCCCATCGGCCTCCTCTCTGACTTTAGGAACTGGATCAGGAGTTTTGATTTCAGCAGATTCCTCTTCTAGTAATGTGGGAAGCCAAGATGTCTTCATCTCACAGTGATGGGGAGGAGGGGTGTGTGTGTCTGTGCTGGTCGTGTCTCTGAGCTCAGACGGGAGGTCGACCTCCTGGTGCTTTAGCCTGAGAGGAGAAGAGGAATAAAAACATAGACGAGATGGGTGATGAATAGAAATAGTTTTATACAAGCAGCTTGGCATCAGCGATAAGTAGATTTGAGCAGGAGACATGCAAGCTTTGCCAACATAGCGGATCAGAGAGCAGATCTCAGCACTGACACGATGTTAGTGGGCATGATAGGAGCATACACCATTTAAGACACTGGTAGATATGAAAATGAAGCATGATTTAACATTGATCTGCTCTGTCGGCTGAAAAACAATCACTACTAGTGAACTAGTTTTTGTTTTCCCTTGACATGATGCAACCTCTTGCCCCTGTTGTTCGAACACCAAACACCAAGAGAGTACAGCAGACTGAGGTCATTGTCTCAGACTTAACATCTATGTGTTACGACTCCACATGATCAATAAGATATTATTGACTTGTAAAATTGGCAAAATACCTTTAGACATTTGACTTGAAGTTCAAGAGTAGAGCTGCATTTCTGCACATCACACACAAAAATCACACACAAGACTCAGCGTCCTTTCAAAAAGCAGCATAGGTTGACGCCTCATGCTGACTTACACACGCTTCCCTCTCAGTGGCTCCTCTGTCTCAGTTAGTGATATTTCCTGCAGGCCGTCACAGCAGCGGGTAAATGAGATCTGATTCTGATCAGTAAGTTCGGGAGGGTTTTCTGTGGCGTCACTATCAATATCACCAGGGGCGGGGATGAGGCGTTTCATAATGCGAGCACTAGAGACGGGTGACGTGTCACCACCGCTCATCAGACGGATTTTGGCTAACAGGAACTCCTCCTCCTCCTGGAGATGTTTGTCTTTGATGGGGTCGTTATGATCAGGGGTCCCTGTGTGTCGGCCGTCCATCCGTGTGCTGTCGTTCTGTGTGGGGCGCTCGTTCAAGCTCTTGGAATGGTTCACATGAATAACATCCCTCATTTCAAGACTCATGAGTGAATCTGTGGGTTTCCTTGGGTCATCATGTGTCTTGCTGATGTGTATGTCAGCTTGTATCTTGGTATGTTTTAAGTCAGAGGGTTGGCTGGTTGCATTTGCACTTGGATGAAGGGGCAAGTGCATCACAGACGATTGAACAAGTTCTCCCTCCTTGTCAGCTGCTACCTCCAGGCAGGGATGATCGTCTCTCTGTCCTTTTATTGGCTGTTTTCGAGCCTCATTGTGTTGGGGAGGAAGTTTAGCCCTCGTCTCTGTAGGATGTTCAGTCTGACCGGTCACAGAGTCAGGACGCTGACTGGCAGCAGAGGTCTGGTGACGGGTTTGTTCGCTGAAGGGCAGAGAAGAGGGCTTCTGGGTTACAGCAGAGGATGGGTGTCCTGGGCTGAAGACAGAAAAGAAGATTTCAGAGCTGAAGTGCTTTTGACAAAACTGACGGCAGTGTCGTTGTCATGCCGATCATCGCAGCCAGAGCTCCATCCTTTTTAGGTCAAAAAGATCAAAAATGGTTGCAGAGATGATTTTGCCAATCCAAACTGTAAAGTTCACTGTCACGGCTGTGGTTGTCTCAAGCCATCCAAAGGTCTTGACTTTCCCATTGTTTGGATGAGAATTTCCCGAGAGTTCTACGAGTACGATGGGACAGAGGTCTGACTGTGTGAAAGCCACCAACCAAAGAAAAACTCCAGATTTCAACATGCTTCAGCCTTCAACTTCAACATCCAATGACCAAACCAATCCATGCTACTTAGCTGCAGCAAGTAGGCGACTGAACAAATGCAATGAGCCTTTTGATATTGTTTCATGTCAACCCCAAACACAGTGATTGTCATGCAACTTAAACAGAAGAGATGTAGATACGTCAGATGCATTTAGGGAACTGACATAGATGAGTGTGTGCAGTTTACAGCTTGATTGAATTTAAGGCATTCCAGTCTGAATTACCTGTTTACATCCGTTATTGGATAAGTTCTAAAGTTTGAAGGAGTGTCTGAAGGTAATGATATTCTCATTAAGTATGAGTCATACTGAAATATGTGTAATATTGAGTGAGTCAGGACAAGGAGTGACATAATTGGAGGAAATGACTGCAATCAGCTGCTCAGGGTTTTCAGATAACTTAATTCTGCGGGTAAGGCGTGTCCACTATAGTCATCCATCCCTGAGGCAGGATGCAAAGAGGAAATTCCAGGCTACAAACAACACGATAATGATTTTGTTTGGTGGAGACGTGCATGACTCACATGCCCACACACAAGTCTGACTTGGGAAAGATCTAAAGGTAAAAAAACCACAGGCAAAGTCCTCTATAATCCACACGAAGCAACAAGCAGATCTCTCTCATGTACCCAATTCCTTCCTGGTTACTCACCCTTCTCTCTCAGCTGCTATAAACCCTCTCACCCACTTTACTCACCCCGCTTCCCCCTCCATGTACAGCTCAGCCAGCCAGATAGAGCCGAGATCCTCGTGTCCTCTCTCATACTCCACCTCCTCGTCCTCCTCCTCCCTCATCCACTCTGGGATGGCGGCTAGGTGAATGTTAGGTTTGCCTTGTTTAACTGATCTCGGGCCAGACCCACTCAGGGGCTTAACAGCAGTATCACTGTCCTTAGGTTTGCCTGATCTGGAGTTAGATTTATTTGTTGGTCTGGCTGCAGGGGCAGAGTCAGCAGTTCTGGTGGAGAGCCGTTGGATTTCAGCCTTGGGGTCGACTGTTTTCTCTAGTTTGGGATGACATTTGCTTTCTGACTCTTCATCATCATCATATGCGATATCATCCAGCTCTGCTTCCCTCAGTGGAGGCCACTCAGCTGATTGGATGCTCACCACTTCCTGGCTGCTTTGCACTAAATCAAAAGCTATCTCTTGTCTCTGTTGTGGTTTCATTCCTTTGCTATTATCACCCCTTTCCACCATCTTCTCTTCCTCTTTCTTTCTGCTCTTCTCCTCTTCCATCTTCTTTTTTGCCATTTCTTTTTTCTTTTCTTCCTCATCTGCCCTCAGCTGCTCCCTTTCTTTCTCTGCTTTTTCCCTCTCTTCCCTTTGCTGGTTCTCCCTCTCTCTTTCTAACCTCTTTCTCTCTTCTATCTTTTCGCTCTCCATCCTTTCCCTCTCCTTCCTCTCCATCTCTTCTTTCTCCTTTGCCAGCTTGTCTCTTTCCTCCTTTTCCCTCACAACCCTTTCTTTCTCTTCCCTCTCTGCCTTTTCCTTCACTTCCCTCTCCAGCTTCTCCCTCTCTCTTTCTAACCTCTTTCTTTCTTCTATCTTTTCCCTCTCCTTCCTCTCCATCTCTGCTTTCTCCTTTGTCAGCTTCTCTCTTTCCCCCTTTTCCCTCTCAACCCTTTCTTTTTCTTCCCTCTCCAGCTTCTCCCTCTCTTCTTTCTTTCCCCTCTCCATCCTGTCCCTCTCCCTCCTCTCCATCTCTTCTTTCTCCTTTGCCAGCCTGTCTCTTTCCTTCTTTTCCCTCAAAACCCTTTCTTTCTCTTCCCTCTCTGCCTTTTCCCTCAATTCCCTCTCCAACTTCTCTCTCTCTTTTTCCAACCTCTTTCTCTCTTCTGCCTTTTCCCTCTCCATCCTTTCCCTCTCCTTCCTCTCCATCTCTGCTTTCTCCTTCGCCAGCTTCTCTCTTTCCTCCTTTTC